GGCTGGAGGGGGAATCCCCGGTTTATAGACTCTCTGCCTTTGCCGCTCCTTGCCCTCTGAGACTCCAGTATAAGGAACACTATCAATGCAACCAATAAAAAAACAATGGCATATTGGGTTGCATTAGCAAAAGCATAGCCAACAGATTGAAGGAAGTGTTTGTTTCCCTTTTCTGAGGTCACATCTGACAATGTGTCTAGTTTTGAACCCTTTGTACACATTGCAAGAGAGATGTTAAGCTGGAGCAAGTCTAGAGAAGGGGGACTAAGGTGTGTGCAGACTGAAGCACATGATGTACAAGGAAAGGCTGTTGGAGCAGCGTTTGCTCAGCCTGGGGAACATGAGGGGGCAGATCTGGCTGCAGTTATTCTACATGAAGGACAGCATACAGAAGAGGAGAGTGATTATTATTAGCACGTGGAAAATACATTGCTGAAGTATTTGTGTGCTCCCTCCTTACCAGAGTTGCCCCAGTCCAGCCTGTACGGCTGATTTAGTTTCCCACTTTATCACTTTTGCAGCGTCCCCTGCCTGCATACGGGAGGCAGTGCAGTGAATTTCAGTTCACAATCCAGGGTTAAGTACGAGCCCTGTGGCAGAGCTGGGAACTGAGTTTTGGGACTCCCAAATGCTAGTCGAGCATCGTGTAAACTGTTCCCTGCTTCCTCGGCAACTACAGAGCCCCGTTGTGAACTTTGTCCCAGAGGCGTCTTTCTCCTCCAACTCCAGAATCAGAAAGTTTGTATGGAATATTGAAAATCCACGCTAATGCTGCCAATTCCCAGACAACTGTGTTGCTCATCTCCAGGGTTATGATGATGTATCTCAATCCATGTATTTCAGACCAGGTGAGGCCGGTAGGGGCCATCAAGGCCAATTAGTGTCCACAGGGCCCTAGCAGCAGCCTCTCTGTCCAGCCAGGCACATACACTGGTCTGGGATCAGGAGGTACTTGCTCCTGAGTGACTACATGCTATGGGGCACTAGTGGGATTTTATGGGGTGCAGAGCCAGAATAGCAAAGTGGGAAGGCATATGACAGAATGACTTAGGGCTCAGGGGCTGACCAGCCCCAGGGACTGATCTAAAAAAGAAAAGGGTGAAAAATGCTGAATGCTTTCAGATGTCACTTTTCTGACATAGCTGTGTGCATATTCTAGCATGTGAGCTGCAGTTACACACGTAAACAACACTTCTGAAAGTGTTGGGGTTTTTTACTGAATTGAAAGCCTAGGGTTTTCTTCCTTTGAGGAAAGAAAGCTCTGACTGCATCTTTATGTCAAACTAGCGTCACACCTGCCACTTTTCTAGAAAAGCTGTGCTAGTGCAGTAACTGATGGAGAGGTGTCCATAGCTTTATAAGATGCTCTGGATTTTCCAGGTGAGTTAAATCTCTGCCTGGTGAATTTCTTCATATGCGTTTTTCCCAGTGAGGATGACCCTCCTGTGGTTTTTCCCTGCTGTGTTTCTTTCCACCTCCCCCCGAGCAGTCATTTCTGCAGGTGACACACTGCCCCCTGTCAGCCAGAGCACCAGCATCTTCCCCGGGGCTCCTGATTCTGCAAAGAGCACCTCTGCTGAGCGGTGGAGACTGTTATTATCTGTGATCGCTTGCAAACGGTCCCACAGCACCATCTGTAACAATGCGCTGGGTGAGGTAAGGGGGGGGGAGGGATTTCTTAACATGTTTTAAAGTTGCTGTCTTCAGTATAATTTGGAAAAGGTGCTGCTTTCTGCTTTCCCACTCAGGGTGCTCCATGCTGCTAACTAGGATTTCCTGCCGCAGGTATGAGCAATAGCAGGGGGATTCAATGAGCCCTGTCATTTTATGTCATAGAACCGCAGAATCATATTTTGGCCTGGAATGGTCCATCAAGGTCATCTAGTCCAACCTCCCCCAGCAATGAGCAGAGACATCTTCAACTACATCAGGTTGCTCAGAGCCCCATCAAGCCTGAAATTGAAAGTTTCCAGGGTTGGGACATCTTCTGCCTCTCACAGCAACTTGTTCCATTGCCCTCACTGTAAAAAAGTTCTTACCTTTATCTAGTCTGAATCTCCCCTCTTTTATTTAAAACCATCATCCTTTGTCCTGTCACAACAGACCCTACTAAAAAGCCTGTCCCCTTCTTTCTTATAAGCCCTTTAAGTACTGAAAGGGCACAATAAGGTCTCCCTGGTGCCTTCTCTTCTCCAGGCTGAACAACCACAACTCTCTCAGCCGTTCTTCACAGGAGGAGTGCTCCAGCCCACTGATCATTTTTGTGGCCCTCCTCTGGACCCTCTCAAAACATATCCGTGTCTATGTCCTTTAAGGTATTATGTGTAGCACTGCCTTTGATGCCTAGGCTCAGCCTCTGTGTTTGCAAAAAACTGGGCACATCTTCGGGTTGGAAAATTAGGGGCAAAAGCAAAGTAGTTTTCATCATCAATTTACCTGCCTACTGTTATGCAAAGCTGCTCGTCAAGAAAATACCTGTATCCCAAATACTGCGTTCTGTGGCTTCCCAGTTGCAGTTGTCACTTTCCTATATAAGGCTGCAACCGAGGGACCTGAAGCCTATATCCAATCGCAGCCATGAGGTGATCGTCTCCTTTCCCCCTTGTGCCCAGGCCCGTGGTACAGAATCCACACTTGGGCTCCGACATGTAGCTGCGAAATAACAAAATAGCCACCAGAGGGCAATAATAATAACAGCCAATAAAAAACTGCAGTCATCAGCCTCAGGAGGTCAGACTCTTTCTACCTGTGCCCTTTCATTCCTTTCTGTTCAGGGGAACGAATCCTTCAGGTGATTTCTGCAGCCATTTGTGTTGGTAGGGGTGAGTTCCAGTAGGAAGGACAGTTTCTGCTCAGTGCACAGGACAGATGTGGCTCCTGTCAAGGCTGGATAGGAAGATGCCACCAGCTCTTAGATTGCCTTCCATCAAGGCACAAGCTGTGCTGGTGACCCCTCTAAGACATCTGTTTGTTGTGGTGATTGACCCTTTTTGAATTGCTATACAGAGTTTCATCCAGAGCTTAATGAATCATGAGGCTATCACAGGGGCTGGATAGGGGGGATTCTACCTGATGTAACCTCCCCTTCACCGAGCTAGAGTTTGGGTTCAAGCTCTCCAGCAGTCTCTGGTACCATGACCAGGCTGTTCCCAATACCTCTTTAGCCCTTTGCTTTATTCTCACCTCGCTACCCTTGCTGAGCAGCCTTTGCTGGCTTCAGGAAGATGGAGTGCTGTCTGCTTTCACCTGTGCTCCTCCTCACAGTGTCACCTCTGGCCAGCTCAGGGCTGGCATGTCTATCAGGAGCTGTTGACAACCCAGGCTCATCGTGCTAATCAAAACAGCACCTGCTGCCTCATATAGATGGTGGGTCACCAGAGAGCCTGAGTAAGTGAATGGATTCTGGCTCTCTGCCAATGGCTTCAGGCCAGGGAACACAGAGGGCAGCACGATTTGGGGGAAGGGGGAGGGAAGGGACATGCTGGGATACTCCTGCTCTGCTCCGGGTGCAAGGAGAGACTTTTCATAAGAGCAGTTATGTTGTCAGTGACAGGTCAGACAAAAAGACTTGAGAGGAATGAAGAGACCAGAATGGGATTGGCACGGTAAGTTATCAGAGGTGCCCTTTAAAGCCATTTGACTATTATTTTTGTTTAAATTGTTTTTGCTCCTGTGTATTAAGGTTTCTCTCTCCCTGATAAGCATCCCACAGCTTGTCCAGGCTGAGCAGTGGAGAGTTGCTGGAGCAGAAACCAAAATCAAAGAGAAGGAGAAGGTTACTGTGACACACGTGTACCTGTAGGAACAGGTACATCAGTAAGTTTCAAATTACCTGGGAGGAAGCAGGAAATTATAGAAACCAAGCAATGGTCTTATTTACTATCCCTTGTCCTCCGAATTCCTTGAAGACTTTTCATTCTCTAAGCTGAAAGCACTGGGTGGGAATGGAGCATGGGCACTTTCTGTGCCTCACGGGGCACCTGGGCACTTGCCTAGGTGTGTCTGCAGCATCCTCTTTCAAACTGTGATGCAGGGAGAAGAGACTATCCTGTGTCTGAGGGGGTGTCCTGTGAGCTGGACACCTGTAGCCTTTTCCCAGCCCCTGCAGATGAATCCATATGGGAACACTGATGTTTCTCTTTTGCTGGGGGTAGGTTGGTTTACATCAGCTGCCAGTTTGTCCTGTCCTTTCCAGTCTCTGCATGTGAGCTGTGTATCTTCTCCTACTCCCACTTCCACCTACAGCAATCAGCCTTCAGAGCTGTAAACATGGTACTTCTATAGCAGACAGAAGCATTGCTTAACCCACCAGCAAAACGTAGTCCTCTCTTTGGTGAAATGTGGCACATGCAGAGAGCAATGACATGCAAGAATTTCTGACAACATGTAAGCAAAGCGGTAGCATAGAAAGGCAAAACACAAATGCAGAGAATGGTTTTTAGCCAGTTTAGTGGTGCTGATGTTATTTTGCTCCTGAGAAGGGCCACCAGCAATCAGAGCTTTGGAGACTTGTGCGCTCTGTGATATCATGCTGGTATGGATTAAACAGCGTACTTGAACCAAAAAACATGTAGCAGATTCCCAGCTATTGGTTTCTAATACCTTAATCTGTCTCCTCTGGGAGAGGTTCGTAATCATTTAACTAACTGAAGGACTGATTAAATGACAACTTGTGAATGGAGAAACGGAGGGCAAAACTTACCAAATCACTGAAATGTAGCAATGTTACCAAAATACCCAACTTTGAGCCATAGTGAGGCAAAAACTGTCAGAGATGGCTGCAAGAAGCTGCTTTCCCAAGCTGCAACAAGAAAAGCCATTTATCAAAAAAAGGCCTTTCTTATTTAATGAAGTAAGGGATATGTAAGGGCAGCTCCACACTGAAGAGCACTATCAACAGGAGAGATGCACTAGAACATTCCCAGGTAAAATCACTGGAATTTAGACAGGTGACTACAACAGATTGTCTTTAATCAGATTGCATTTTTATTTTCCTTCTCCTCTGTGAAACTCCCAGATTGCTACAACAAGCACAACTCCCTTATGACTTCCTAGGCAAGGAGTCTGAAGAACACAAAAGTCTACCACAATTCTGAGTGTACCAATACATCCTCTAGTTCTAGGGATGAACAAAAACTGTGTGTGTTTCTGTGTGGGATTTACCACAGCAACTCTGAAGCAAGGAGAAAAACAAATGTTAAGAGGGATTTGGAGTCAAAACACTACCAACAATGTATAAAAGTTTATTTTACGAACACATTGAACTATTGTGCGCAGCACATACATATAAAAATAGAAGTAATTTCACAAACGATTGGACAGTTTTGTGTTTCTTGCAAATTTACAGTCTCAATTGCGAGTCCATATTGATCAGAATATGAGGTATATTTAGTGAAAAAAATACTGTGAGAACTTTGGCACCATTTTACTGTGCAAAATAAAATCTTGGAATTGAAATAGTTAGTGAGGTATACAAAAATTACTCTGCTTTCCCACTGTGTGTGTCTGCATCTCTGCATGTTTTGGGAAAATTACATTATTTAATTCAGTGCCAGCCAAGACTGTTTTCTAATGGAGGTGGATTAGGTCTTAAATTATTATGGGATTTGCCTAAGAAGAAGAAAACTTGAAAACAGGTATCATCAACTCAACGCAGAAACCCATGTGCAAAATATGGGTGAGATAGGCTGGTGTGGGGCATTCAACAGCAATGCTTTCAAAGCTTGTATTCCATATCATAACTCTGCATTAATGCACACTGAGATTATATATGCTCTGAAAGGGACCACCCAAGAACTGTCAATAGCAGGTTCCTAATTTGGCTCTGATTTGAGAAGCTCCTTTACTTTCATGAGTTTTCTTTTACATATCCATTGAGCTATTCTTTCAAAGAAAGCTTTGCTTGAGAGTTTGCCAGGCTATGCCCATATTGTCTCCATAGCCCCTGTATCATGTACATACAGCTTACAAATAGTTTGTTTAGGTTTTTTTTTTTCTTCTGTGCCAGCTCAACAAATTTATCCTGAGGTGTGTAAAATATTTGGCAGTCTTCCTAAATCCTTCTACTCCCATGCAGGCGATAATGGCCTGAGAAGGAGGAAGTGGAATTTAGCTACTCAAGATTGAGGCAGAACAGGATCAGGCCATTTCCCTGGCAAGTTGCATCACTTCTTGAACACTGCCACAGTGCATTCTGCTACTGTGAGCTGCTACTAGACTGCTTGCACATCCCCATTAATGTGTCCATATGTGCCTTAACACTCTCCTGAAAGTAGCTATGCATTCACCTCTGTCAAAGTACCGTACCCAACTAGTCTAAAACTCCAGAACACTCCCATACTGTGCTATTTGTGCTGGAGGGATTTACTGACACAGCTATCACTCCTGGCAATGGCATCTTTCATTGTCACTTCTGATAATGACATGATTCACTCTCATATTAGTCAGATTCCTAGCACTGGAAGATCTGTTTCGATTTCAGTGTTGACTTCAGTGTTGGTCTGGCTGGCACTGATAAGCAATAAGGAAAAGGAAAGTGGTGTTATGAGTAACTCAGCAGAGTGACTGGTGGGGCTTTCCAAATGCCCACCAAAACTGCATCCGTGAGGGTCTGCAATTCTTAAGAACAAGTTCTTCCCAACAGGCTGTGTCCAAACAGACTTCCTGTGACATGGTCTACAGTTTGTTCTTGCTGTTGACCAGTGTGTGCAAAATGGAACCAGTGAGTCTAATTCTCACCTTTTATGCCAGCTATCCCATTATTTGTCAGTACTGGCAACAATAAATTAATCTTGACTGCACTGGTTTAAGAGGGAACAGACTTCATCCTATCCTAAGGGCACTGGTTTAAGCTGTAATCAGAAACAAACTTGTGTGTCAGCATTTAAACTATGATTTCTTCTACATCCATGTACTTTTCAGTCCTTCTTCAAACTTAATTTCAAAGACAATTAGGAATATAACACAAGGATACAGGTTACCAACTAATGTATTTGAGCACAGCTGTAGTCTTCCAATCTGTACATCTGGAGACTCTAGGTTGGTGTCTGATATCCTCCAAACTTTTCTCTCACTCTTTCTCCCTACTCAAACCATTCTGCCTTTTCTCTTAAAAATGCACATCTTTCCAAAACAAACTGCTGCACACATTGTGGATGAACAAAGTGTGCCAACTTGGTTTCTCTCTGCTTACGGCAAGACCAGAAAATGAAGAGTAACTCCTTTCCTTCACCATATCCAAAGTGTCCCGTTCATGTACTGTAAACAGTATTCCATTCTTCTTTTCTCATCGTTTACACTGTGATCACCACTTACACTTGAGCAAAACAAATTCAAGTATAAATTACACAAAAGGAGCTGGAAAACTGTATCCTCTTCACAAAACAATTGTTTTGATAACTTTTCAGAAAGCGTGGCTGTAGATGCATTCTTGTAGGTGTGCTCTTTGGGCATAATCTTCTGCAACTATAAACTGTAGTCTTACTAGGTTGGTTTACTCCAGCTGAGGACCTAGCCTTGACAGTGTTTGTCATGCATGTCAGAAGGCTCAAATTCATCATGAATAGACACCTCCTGCAAATAGAATGGCATGTCAAGGCTGGACATAGCCACATTTTGGCTGGACGTGGGAGATTATCTTGCACTCAGATGTTCACTTCTACAGCAACATGGTCCATCTATGCTGAAAATGCTCATGCTCTGACATTGCATTGAATCTAGTTTCAAATTTAGGAGCACGCCATCAGTGCAGGAATTCCAAGGCTTCTGGTAACTGACATTTATAGTGACTATTGACTTAGGACCTCTTAAAATACTCCTTCAAAGGCACAGAGAATGTAGCTTCGTTGGTGATCTGGAAAAAGGTTGTCAGAGTAGTAAGGCAATGTCATGCACCGTTTGTATGGCTTCTAGGAGAGCTTTGGAGAATATTTCATACACCTTGCTGTGTTGTCTTTGAAAAGGATGCTTTGCAAGTGACAGAAATTGGAATTACAGCACAAATTCCTTTACCGCAACACAGGAAGACATACTTTTATAGCCTCCTTCTTCCTCTGTTATTCATACTTCAGTGAGATATGACAGAGAAGAATCAAATACACTTAAAGCAGTAAATACAAGAAAATTCAAAGCACAGAAGTTTTCTAAAATAACCCTCTGCTGGAAGCTTTCATGAATTTCATACATTTTATAAAATGGATCCTGCAGACCAGCTCTAATTCTCAGAGATTGACAAGGTTCAGCCTAAATGGAATACAGTGCCCTTAAATATTTATGTTCTTTTATGTGCGTATGCATATAAAGGCACCTGAGCATCTAGAGGTTGGGATGTTTGGTTCATTAAAAGTATGTAATTACACAGGTACACACACATCCCATGTCTATATGTATACATATGTATTTATAGTAAAGATGTACACTTTTGTATTTGAGGTGAATCGAAAATAGGCTCACAAAATGTCATTCAAAATCCCCAGCTTCAAATATATTTTGCATTTGAGGCCCATCTGTCATTTATCCTGTGGCCCTTCCTAAGGGAAATTGATTGCAGATCTTCATTTTGCCAACAAGTCCATGTGAGAAGACCATGGAGAATCCCTTCACAGAGGGACTATGGGAGTAGGCAGTTTGCTTGTGCAGAAACGGGCGTGGAATTGGCATCCTAATGATCAATATAATAGATTGAGGACTTTAGAAGACAGGACACAGTGTGTAGAAGGGGAGGTGCAGGCAGATATTCAGATGGAGTGAACTGCTTGAAGCTCTGATGAAGCAAAGTCCTTTGATGATTTGGCCCATGATATGTAAACAGCTCACTATGAAAGGTTATTTTCTGAGGTAATTAGTATTATTTAGTAGATAATCTATGATCAATCAGATGATTACCTACAGCCACTTTGTCTTCTGAATACTTCCTTTGCAATTCAGCTTGCATTTTTCTCTGTTCAGCACCAAAGGAGGCACACAGCCATGTAAAATTTGCACAGAGTAGAAGAGAAGTAGCATTGTATTACATATGCTACGATGTGATGAATCTAGTACAAATATTTTTATCCAAATATACACATAGATATATTTTTTTTTTTCAATGAACAGTATAAATACTTTACCTGGGAGATTATTCCCATGTGCAAAATGAAACAGTTTTTCCTGGGATTTAATCTTCAGCTTTGCCCATGTTCATATTCTTGGTAAAAAGTGGGTCACTGTCATAGCAGGAGAAACCTTGTTTCCTCTCTTCACTCTCCCATGTTTGCTGAGAGCTATGTAGGCACCACAGTAAGCATCTGATTCATATGAGTTGTAGTTATTAGGCAGCAAGGTTTCTTTGAATTTGCACTCATCTTGGAAAACAGCCTAAAGAATAGGAGGTGGGGAAGAACAAAGCAGGTACAGTAAATATCTCAAGAAGACTCAAGTAATTTCTCTTACTAGCGCTAGTACAGAAGAGCCTGTTGCAGTGTGCAACAGGTGGTGCCGCAGCGACTGCATCCAACAATAAATCTCCCTCCTCAGTGCTAATTTGGTGTCAGATGAACCCAGATGCCACCTGTCCAGATAATGGACTGTGCACTTCCTGTGATAGATCAAGTTAATTCATCATAAATCATAGAATTCTTCATTTTATTTGTAAGCAATAAAAACAATAGTTTCTGCCAGCATCATATTCTTTTGTCCAAATGATGCGGCTTTATTTCATATCTCTCCCCTGCAACGGGTCCTTTAATCTATAAAAGAATGACATGCTAGGTGTCAAAACCTTCAATTCTCATCCAGGGAGAACTTTTTGCTTGAATATTACTATTTGCTTGAATAAGACATTTGAGTAAGACCTCAGATCTGCACTAAATCTTTTCTTTAAATCATTAGTGTTATTATATTTAGCTGCTAGTAAGATACGTGGCAGGTTCTAAACCGGGAAAACAGTTTTATTTTTCTTCATGTCACATCTCATAAATCCAAAGAGAGGGAGTTATCTGACAGAGGAGGTGCAAGGACTAGCAGGAGACATACACAGAGCACCAAGGAAATTTAAAGAGAAAGCAGAATAATCATCTGACATTAAACGTTTGGCACACGAGACACCACCAGTGCTGCTCTATTTGGACTTCTTAAAAACACCATTCAAAGCTTGTAAGAGTTTAACTTAGGGCATTGCATTCTGCGAGGGAAAATGCTCATCTCTTAAAGCTTTTAAAAATATCTTTGAAAATCACAGAGTCACAGAATGGTTTGGATTGGAAAGGACTTTAAGATCATCTAGTTCCAAACGCCCTGCCATGGGCAGGGACATCTCACCCTAGTCTGTGTCATCCAAGGCTGTCCAACCTGGCCTTGAACACTGCCAGGAAAATAAAGAAGACTGGATTGAAACTAGGGGGAAATATCAAAGGGAGCTCTGAAGACAGACCATGCATTTCTTTAGGAAGACCTAGCCAAGCAAAGCGGTTGGACTTGTGGCTCTTTTTAGGTGCCTGAAATCAGACATGATTAAAATAATATTCCTAAAGTGGAACCTTAAAATGCCCCATTGTCATTATCTGTGTGAGAAGGAATCAGTCAGGTTAAGAATAGCTATGCGTCCTTTGCAACATTTGGTGTTTTATTAAGCAAGTGAAATGCTTTGTTGAAAGTACAGCTGTTTCAAAGGAAATGGCTTTGTTGTTTCTTGGCAAAAGAGATGAATGCAGTCAGTGCTATTCATTATTTGGAGATGGACTGCTTTTGCCTATTGCCCAAACCCAGCCTCTTGCAAACCTGCTTCCTAACAAGTATTTTTTCTGCTGAATGTTGAGATTGGAGATGCCTTGCTCATGCCTCAGAGATTAAATTGCATTTAGATATCACAGCTAGCACTTTCTAGATGAGGGTGATGGTGATGGTATTTCAGTATGACCTGCATACCACTGTTAAGAGCTATTATTGTTTTCTCACCCTTTTGGATTGATCTCACAAAACTGGTCACTAAAATAACCGCAAGTGCATGTGTCGACTTTGTAGGGTAGACTTACTATTTATTCTTCATTATGTGCTTGGTTTTGGTAGGGGGAAGCATGTGGACATGATTTTACTAACGGTAGCTAGTATAGATGGCTCTGATTGTGCCTCTCCTACACAAGCCTGTATGCGCACACACACACACACATGCAATCACATACACACACACACACTCATGGACATGCACAGTTGATCTCAGGGGTGGTTTTGCAGAGCACACCCTTTTGCTTTATAGACAAAGGGAATCAACAAAGGTCAGTCTTGCAGTGCTGAGCAATCTAATTAATGCATACTATTTGCAGAATACATTCACTTTCCTAGTGTGCTCCCTCTACAATCTTATTGGAAAGCTTTAAAACAGGCCTCTGATAGCCATGCTGCCAGTTGGACTGAATAACACTGATGACACCAGGTTGGGCAGGTTCCCTCTAATTTAAAGGCTATTTTCTCTGCTTGTAATCAGAGATTTCCACAAGGAAAAAAAGCCCAAAAAAACCTTTGCAGCCTTGTTTAAGCCTCAGAAAACTATCTGCACTTGTACTCACCGTTCCATACAACTTCCCTTTGTTGTTCATTGCGATGAAGAGAGCACTTTTCACACCAAACAGGCTAACAACACCTCTCTCTACAGTGGATATTTCAAAGAGACCTAAAAAATAAGAAAAGTTATCATAGAATTTAGAGCTAATCAAAGGCAACTTAGCTGTAATTTACTTATTTAAAAACCCTAATGAACTCTATATTCACTTATTAGAATTATCTCCCTAGAAATACACAGAGAAGCTTCTAGGTTTTTTACTACATGCTGCAGGATTTTAAAATAATTAGTTTGGAATTGCAGTCACATTCTGCATAATTCTTTTGCTCCATGAAACTATCTTGATCTGTCAAACTCTTAGGTCTTCCAGTAAGCTAATCATTTGTAGCTAATATGCTATAATTACAAAGTGTTAGCTACTAAGATTCAGAGAAGCATTTCTTGTATTTTGAAGTCTCCTGTGCTATCTTAGCTGCAAAGGATTTTAGCAACTGCTGTCTACAGAAACTTCAAATCCATAGGGATAATGCTTTTCTTTAATCTTATGGTAGCAGAGGAGCCCTCATAAGAACAAGCAAACCAGGAACAGCAAGCCCCTGGTGTCCCAGAAGTACTAGTCATCTAGGATTCAGAAACCACACTTTGGCACTCTGAGCTCCGTGACAGCCTCTCACATTCAAAAGGCAAATGAGAAGGGAGGAGTGAGGAAATGCAGCAGAGAGACTGTTTTCAACCTGGTTTGTCTTTTCTCATCTGGGCAGTAAAGCAGAGTAAAAATAAAATGTACCCAAATTTGTCTAAGCATTTGTGATATGTTTCAGCCTGGAGGGTCCTAATGTTTATTGATCCCAGAGACTTTTAAAAGGCAACAGATGCAGCACAGATTAATAATATCAAGTAATAACATTTGCATTCTGTGAAGGGTAATTACTAGAGTTCACAGCAATTAAGTGACATCTATTCTATTTCATTTCTGGATGCAACTCACTGTATTGGTTTTCATTGTGAACTCCGCTTATCCTTCCATCTGGGAGGATTTGAAGGTGAAACCCGATGCCCACGTTGCAGTAAAGCCTCCGCTGCCTCTTGATTCCTAGCAAATAGTCACTCTCCCAGTTGCCATCTGACTTCTCCCCTGACATCCCAGCAATGGACCTGGACAACAGAGATTGCCATCCTCTTTCCAGCAATGTGCCATTAGTTCTGCTTACAACTGGATGTGTTGAAGCAATCCCAGTTAGAAAACCCAGGAGAACGAAAGCAGGCAACGACCGGTGAATGCTGGCTTCGCAGGACATAGTGATGAGAAGTCTTTGTGCAGTGGCCATCCGGTTCATCTCCTGGGCACGTGGTCAGAATTAATGGCCCTAAAAATACCGCCCTTCTTGGTTTTCTCCCTTCAGCATGGTGGCAGAGGCTTATTTTTGGAAAGCAAATAGAGATTGCTGACATGAAACTAAAGCCCGATCGCAGTTGAGTTGGAAGCAGAGGCAGGCCGGCAGGACTCGAACTGGTAGGGACCATGTTTTGTAGATCCTGCTCTCCCGTGGGCAGCCTCAGTTATATTTGATTGACCCATCTTTATAGTGCAGAGTCTGTCCCTCCCCGCATCATCACTCTGACATCAACAGCTTGCCAGAGGTAAGCCTGCCATGGCTGTAACACTAACCTGCCGTCCTCCCGGGCTGGCTGAGGTTTGACGAATGCTGTCACCCAAGACCGGAGGCAGGAGTGGGGTTTCATTGGCTGGTGAAAGCAAAGGGGTCAAATTGGTTGGGCTGTCGGAGGCCAAACAGGCGGCTTCCTTATTTAGAGAAGAAGGTGTAAAAACAGTCACGGACCTCATCAGTGAGCAATGAAAACTTTGCAGTCACTTCCTTGGTGGCACGGTCACTGGGTGTACATCAGGGCAGCTCAATATCTGGGGAGAATTGGCTCGAAGTGGCCATTGCTTACTTTGTTTATGCATACCCAGCAAATCCAAGGCCCTTTTCACTGTAGTGGCCCACGTGCTAAAATCTGGTCTGTACCTCTAAAAGGAGTGCTCCTGGCTGGCTAACAGAGAGGTAAGTTATGTTAAAAAGAGGTGCTTCCTCCCACTGTTCTTAATGCAAGCACATTTCTGCTGCTTGCAGCAGCGATTCTGCTGAGCAGGGTGCACAGGCTGGAGCACTGATTTGAGTTACACATAGCTGGGGACATGGATGTGTTCATGTTTTTCACTGAGGTGCCTTCCAAATGATCACATTTCTTTTGGGAGGGTGTGTGCCTCTTGCATAGCTGCAACTGTATTTGTGTTTCCAAGTCAAGGTAATGCGTTAAAGAAGAAGAAAAAGGGAAATGGGCCACACCTCCCACTGTTTCACTGTCTCTTTTCCTTAAGCCCAAATACTCTTTTTATGTAGTAGTTTATGAGAGTCTTAATTTTACTCTCCTTACATTTGCTCTTGTTTCCCCTCATTTTGCTGTCTCAGCTTCTTCGGAGCTGGACAGATTAGGCTTCCAACTTCATTATTTTCACAGGACTCATTAAGAATTTAATGGGAGAAAAAAGTCTGAGATTTACGCAAATAAGTTTTTCCAATATCCCTGTAAGCTTTTCACAGCACAGCACTTGCGTTGTCTATGTCATTTGAGAACCCTGCATCTTAATAAGGAGAGTACCTGGAAGTGTGATTGAACTGAGCGCACCCGGAATGACAGCCAGTTTCACATTAACAGGGGTGTAATACGAGGCCTTGGAAACCGCAGGCTCTCAAGCAGGAGCACCCTGAGCAAACAGGGGGAGATGGCAGCCCTGAGGCAGGTGAGCAGTTAGATTCAGTGACATAGGAAATACTGATTATTCTCCTGGGAGAAGCTCAGCTATAAAGAGATCGGGAACCACTGGACTAGACCCTGGCTTGCACCAGGTGTTGTTTCAAAGCCTCTCTGCATTTGTTGAAGCAGCACTAGGAATATCGTCTGTTTTTTGCTTGCAATGAGAATCTTCAGGCCCTTTCCTCTCCTGCCTTCTATTTAATTTCATGATTTATCAGCTATGCAAAGCGCATCGATAATTTTTAGCATGGAATAATGCTAGTATTCTACACACCCCCGCCTCAGCGTAGGTGCAGTCCTTGTGAGAGGCCAGGGTCAGGTTGAAACCAAGCCCAGGGTCACTGTTACAAGGATGATTTCCTAAGCTGTCTTATGCTACATTCTGAAGACCTGCCCATTCCCAATGCATGTGACTCCTAAAACTATTGCCTGATGTCACAGCCATCACTGTCTGTAAAATATGCATTCTAATATTTTTTTCCAAAGATTTTTAGTTTTCCCCAGGTTGTTTCAAGTGTAATTTTGGAGTATGCTTATAATCAGTGTCCCAAGAGGGAAATTAGAATACAGCTGCCAATCAGCAGGCAAAATAACATTTGGGTTGAGAGACAAAAGTGCAGAGCTGTCTTTCTATCACTGGCTTTTGATCAAAGCCAATTATGTACACTATCTTTGTGTCTCATCTTTCAGGCTCCTCACAGCAAAGCCAAGGTATGGGCTAAAAGAGCTTCTCTAACCTGTGCTGGCACATCTGGTACTGCAGATTCCCAACAAGTGGCCCATGTCAAAGGAACCCTTGGTGGGATGCACCCTGTTGCATCCTGGTACCCTTGGTCCTAGGATGAATACTAGATGACCGCATAAAATACATGGGACAAATTCTGCCAAGTCTATGGGATGCACCGCTTTGGCTTTGGCTTTGTCAGCGCATCTGGAAAGCGACTGCTGAGAGCTGTGGTGGACCAAAGTAGCTGGCCCAGGGTAGCTGGGGACAGCCTCTCACCTGTGGTTTCACGTGATCAAGTAGAGATGACAGCATACTTGTATGGAAAAGGTGGCCAAACAGCTTGCTTGCAAAAATCGGAACTTATCTGGCTTGATCCAGAAACCAAAACAAACAGCTAAAAATCGTGATTTCATTGGGACATCTGGCCCTCATAAGACCAAGAGTCCTGGTATCTGGTCTAAGAACAAATGGTGTACAGATGGGAGATGAAGTGCATGCTGTAGTCTTGTAATGCTCAGCTATTCTTCAGTGGAGCTGAAATGAGTCTTGAACCATTCTGTAGTCTGATCTGTGTCTGGCAGATTGCTGAGTTTCTGTGTATTAGCAAAGTGGTCTCAAGATGAACTGCCATGTAGATCCTGGAGCTTCTGATTCAATTAGGCAAGCCGTGTCTCTTCTAAAAGATGTCTCATTGTGGTTAAACTTGTCTTCTCGGCCCATGAAGTAACTGGTTCCAGTTATGTTTTGATTTTGAGATCGCATGTTGTCTTGACTTCATGCACCCAGTAAAATTTGGAAGGTGTCATGGGAGACACCAATAGCATTGCCAGTAAAATAAATCCAGTGAACTCCAAAATGGTAAAAATCTACTTTGGCAATCAACCTCCGCTTACTCAAAATCTCAAGACCCAGGATGACAGTGCTTACTGCCTAATCAAAGTAACAAGTATTCATTGTCAGTATTTTAGTACAATATTAAAATAACCCCCCTTTGGAACACAGCAGTAGAGATCCACTTTCAGATAGTCTAGGAAAAGCCATGCAGCTGAGCAGTAACATGATATGGATGCAGAGCACGTCTTTCAAAAATGAATGATGACTTAGGATCCCAAGTTCCATTTTCAAATCTCTAAAAATCTCTCACTATTCTAAGGCCTGAAAAGAGCAATCCCTCACTCAAACACATAAGGACAGACTAAAATTATTCACCTCGCCTGTGCTGAAGACACAGGCTGCTGGTGGAACAGAGGAGAAGGGAGATCTCCAGGTGACAAATCTGGCTGTTGGGGCAGGGGAAGTATTGCAGGCTCTAGATAACATGCGTGAAACCCTGTTTGACCAAGTATGACCATGGAGTCCCATCAGACCATCATTCAGCTAAGGGATTTTGTTGGCCAGTATGCAGAGATGTGTATGTTAGCCATACAGATACCCAAAATGAATAAACAAGACAACAGACAGCAGCCTTGCCTGAGGCCCTTGGAGGCTGAAGTAAGCAAAGCTACTGCAACAAAAGTATCACCTCATTACAAGTGCTGACTCCTAAAGCAGATAAAAGACCTGCTCAAACCCAGTCTGTCATCACCAGTCAAAAGGAGCAGATACACAGTGAAGACTTACCAGAGGATCTACCTTGCCCTTCAAGTCAGACACAGAGCAATCCTGGCTAGGCCACTGGGACACATGCGTTTTGGTGCAAGTGAGTACTTGGGTCAGAAAGTAAGTTAAACAATGTAGAAACAGTTATCCTCCCATTTCTCAGCCAGGGCTCTCCCTGAGTTTTCACTTGCTGATTTCCTACAAGCAGGCACAAATGACAGAACAGCTTCCTGTTATTTTGTGGGGGGAAGAGGGAAAAAGGATCCACTCCTGAAGGAAACCATGGAGGATTTAGGACTAGATTGCGAGCTTACTTGGAAAAAGAATCTTGATTTGCTGCTTATTTTTGCTAAATTCATATTGCGAAGAGGGTATGTCAAGCACGGATACAGTCAAACATACCCACCATTTTCATTCCATCTGAACCGCAGAAGCTAGTTCATAGGTACACAGAGTAGCTTTGCTGTGCTTGCACACAGACTGGTTTATGGGCAAATCTTGCTCTTTATGACACAACCACAAATTCCTTCTTGCGGCAGAGTTGTTCTCCATGTGCCATGATACATCAGAGCAGAACTTGCATCTTTTATCATCACTGTTTTCTGCACAAGATCTGTCCCTAGGCTTTTGCTTGTGTAAAGCTTGGCATAGAAACCCAAAGGCAGGAAGCCCTCCATGAAAGGAAATTGTCTCAACTTCTATTCTAGGGTGTGGGTGAAAGTCACCGACGGCCTGCAGAAGCAGTTGGCGAGGAGGCGGAGGGGGAACAGCCAAAGCTGCTGGTGATTGTGTTGACTCTCCTGTGGAGCTCTCGTCAGTGCAGGCTGAAGGAGACTTGAAGATTTGGAGCTCTCTGGAGGTGCATAAAAACAGTTCTGAGATGGCAGCATCTGCCTCTCCATATCTTACTGAGGTTGAAATGGCTGTTATAAGACAGAGTGGTGACTCCCCGGTGAACGTGTGGGTTCCCATCCTGGTGTTCTGCACGCCAGCCCACACTGCTTCTCTCATCACCTCCTCAGCTGTTCCCGCTCCCCAAGGACAGGCAGCCCAAGGGCAAAATGCTGAGCTGAAAAGGAGTGACAGCCGCCAGCCCCCCCAGGGATCTGCTTGGTGTTATTTATTAGAAGGGTGGAACGACATGGGACATGTTTAATTTGGTTTCAGTTTGTTACACGTATGGTTTTCTCATTACATCAGGAACAGGGACATTACAGGAACAGGGACTGCTAAATGTCCCACTTAGGTAACATTATTAACAGGAAAGCAAAAGTAACTTGGTTTTGTTGTAGTGGTGGTGATGACATTTTGTCCAAGAGCCCAGGTGGATGATTCCTGACCACGGAAACTATTCAGATGATATGCTGTAATCCAGAATAGAAATTTGAAGGCAATTTATGCCATTTGCCAGATAACTCTGTCTTCTTTGTGTTGTGTACAGTTACCTCAGTTGAAGACTTTCTCTTGCATGCTAATTCTTCATCTGTTGGTCTGGATTCCTCCTCATATTTCAGGGGAAAGTTCTGAATCCTGGACCTTTTGTGCAGTCATCTGAACTCTTTCTTGCTTTTGTCAAGCTTTGCTCCTACAAGGTGGGCAACACTTGAAGATCTGTAGCTTGTAATCCATCTTCAATAGCAATTGTGATTTGTTGTTCAACTTTCATGGAAAGGATCCTATCTTTC